ATGATAATGTGAGGTATTAATAACAGGGAAAATTAGGTGTGGGGTGCATAGGAACTCTCTGATTATTTTCTCAATTTTTCTGCAAATGTAGGAAAAGAAAAAAAATTCTCTACCAGAAATCATTGTACTTGTTAGTTGGGTTTCATGTCACTGTATATTTAAGTAATAAGTGCATGGTTACTTTTTAATTAGTGATTTTGCTCTTGTGAAGATTGCATGCTATATAACCCTGTTGTTGCAATATTGGCAGATGGGTTTTAGTCAAGTAACCTTATAGACTCTGGGAGGAATTTTGATCTAGTAGGAAATGAGTTTCACTATAAAAGTATGTTCTCCAGTTAGCACCCCCTCAGGTATTCTTTTAGCTACAAATCTGGGAAAGTATTATAATACACTGTAGGCTTATATAAATTGAAAAAGTGTCTCCTGAAAGAGGGTGACAGAAAACATTGACTTCAACCATAAAAGAGTTATGCTGCAGTAATACTACATCAAATCTTTCTGAAGTAGTGCACTTACTGGAACAATTTTTCAGCACATGAACCTTTCTTCAACTTTTTCCTGAGCATGGTATAAATATTGGTTCAGATTTGTCAAGCTAAGGGTACCTAAGAAATTTAGCCTAAATACTATAAGTGTTTTTGTGCATGTGTGTGTTAATTTATTTAAAAATGTTCTACACGACACAAATTCTATTACTTTATATCATCTCTATGTAGAATATTTTTTACCTCTATTGTCACTTCAATTCTTATATTTTGATCTCATTTCAATGCTAATCTTTTGATGAATAATGCCAAAAATATAATTATTTAAGCACAAAAATACTTAATAGTTTGCAAGACGCTTTTCTAATATGCAAGGTATATTGCATATTCCCCATAAAATGACGAAAAGACAAAAAAATATAAAAAACCCACAAACACCTTCATTGAATTGAAGGTGAAAGTTGTAATTTGAATGTCAGGAATTGTTAGATTGGTCTATAAAAAACACGTATGTTCAAGTGCAGACCATGAGTGATGTCTCCTAATTATAAACCTGGAATATGTAAGCTGAGAATATTACCACACAGAAAATTCAAGCAAATGAATATTTACTGTGCAATTGTTGGTTGAAGAGAAACATTTATTCACTCATTTTCATTAACCCTTAAATATATCCTTTGCAACCTTTACCAATCTTATTTTCTTAGTGCCAGTGTGAGGTAATCTTAGAAGAGAACAGACATTTTATCAGGGATTATTTTTTATCTTGCTGGGCTAGGGGATGGAACTTCCCCATTGAATAATCCACTTAAAGAAGCTAAGGCCATTGAGAAACCTGGGTTTTAAAGGTCACTAGGTTTGTTTTAAAATTCATTTTCATAATATGTTTAACTGTAACTCTTTACAACACCATGTAAACATAGTCACATGTCCATAAATGCTTATTTCTAAGCACATCTTGCTTTATTATGCTCAGCTTTATTGCACTGCACAGACATTGTGATTTTTTACAAATTGAAAGTTTGTGGTTGCTCTGCATTCAGAAAGTCAATCAGTGCTGTTTTTCCAACACGTGTGCTCACTTTGTGTCATTCTGTTGCATTTTGGTAATTCTCATAGTATTGCAAACTTTTTCATTAGTACTTTATCCATTATGATGATCTGTGATCAGTGATCTTTGATGTTACTGCTGTAAGTGGAAGAAGCACAAACCATGCCCATATAAGACAATGAACTTAATAGATGGTGTGTGTGTTCTGACTGCTCCACTGGCCAGCCATTTCCTCATCTTTCTCCCTCAATATGGGCCTGAGACACAGCACTATTACATTAGCCCATTTAATATTCCTGCAATGGCTTCTAAGTGGTCAAATGAAAGAAAAAAAAAAGAAAAAAAGAAAAGAAAGAGTCACATGTCTCTCACTGTGAAGCAAAAGCTAGAAATGATTAAGGCTTGTGAGGAAGGCACAACGAAAGCCAAGGTAGACTGGAAGCTAGGCTTCTTGCACCAGTTAGCCAGGTTGTGAATACCAAAAAAAAAAAAAAAAAGATTTCTTTAAGGAAATTGAATGTGCTACTCCAGTGGACACATAAATGGTAAGAAAGTGAAGCAGCCTTATTGCTAATATGGAGAAAGTTATAGTGCTTTGGATAAAAGATCAAACCAGCCACATCATTCTCTTAAGTCAAAGCCTAATCCCAAGCAACGTCCTAATTTTTTTCAATGCTATGGAGGCTGGGAGAGGCACAGAAGCTGCAGAGGAACATTTGAAGCTGTCAGAGGTTAGTTTCATGAAGTTTAAGGAAAGAAGCTGTCTCTATCATATACAAGCACAGGGTGAAGCTGCAAGTGCTGTTGCAGAAGCTGCAGTGGCTTATTCAGAAGATCCAGCTAAGGTAAATTATGAAGATGGCTACACTAAGCCACAGATTTTCAATATAGAAAAAACATTCTATTGGAAGAAGATGCTTTCTAGGACTTTCATTGCTAGAGAGGAGTAGTCAATGCCTGGCTTCAAAGCTTCAAAAGACAGGCTGAGTCTCTTGTTAGGGGCTAACATAGCCTTTGACTTTCAGTTGAAGCCACGGCTAATTTACCATTTCAAAAATTCTAGGGCCCTTATAAATTAGTTTACATCTACTCTGCCTGTGCTCTGGAAATGAATCAACAAAGGCTGGATGAGAGTACTGTCTATTTACAGCGTGGTTTACTATTTTAAGCCCATTGTTGAGACCTACTTCGCAGAAAATGTTATTGCATTCAAAATATTACTACTCATCGATATGTAATTGGTCACCCAAGAGCTCTGATGGAGATGTACAAGGAGATTAGTGCTGTCTCATGACTACTAACACAGCATCATTCTGTAGGTCATGGATCAATGAGTAATTTTGACTTTCAAGTCTTATTATTTAAGATATACATTTCAAAAGGGTACAGCTGCCACAGATAGTGACTCCTCTGATGAATCTGGGCAACATCAGTTAAAAACATTTTGGAAAAGATTCACTATTCTAGATGCCATTAAGAACCTTTCGTGATTTATGGGGGAAGGTTAAAATATCAACATTAACGAAAGTTTGGAAGAAGTTGATTCAGACCTTCAAAGATGACTTTAGGAGGTTGAAGACTTTAGTGGGGGAAGTAACTACAGGTGTAAAAATAGCAATAGAATTAGAAGTGGAGCCTGAAGAGGTGACGGAATTGCTGCAATCTCATGATCAAACCTTACTGAATGAAGAGTTATTTTTTGTGTATGAACAAAGAAAGTAGTTTCTGGAGATGGAAGCTACTACTGGTTAAGATATTGTGAACATTGTTGAAATGATAACAAAGGATTTAGAATATTACATAAACTTATTTGATAAAGCAGCACCAATATTTGAGAAGATTGAGTCCAATATTTCAAGAACTTCTACTCTGAGTAAAATGCTATCAAACAGCATCACGTGCTACAGAAAAATTGTGGTGAGAAGAGTCAATTGATGTGGCAAACTTCATTGTCTTATTTTAAGAACTGCCACAGCCACCGCCAACTCCAGCACCCACCAACTTGATCAGTCAGCACCATCAACCTCGAGGCAAGATGCTCCACCTGCAAAAGGATTACGACTCACTTAAGGCTCAGATGATCACTATCATTTTTTAGTAATAAAGTATATTTAATTAAGATGTGTGAATTTTTAGACATAATGCTATTGAGCACTTTAGACTAAAGCATGGTGCAAACATAACTTTTATATGCACTGGGAAACAAAAAAAATTGTGTGGCTTACTTTATTGTAATATTCACTTTATTGTAGTATTCTGAAACTGAACCCAAAATCTCTCTTAAGATATGCCCTGTATATACTTTGTTATATAATTTATTCTGAAAAATATGTGAGATGCATAATCTATACCCTGTTTCTTTTCTGTTTTATCAGAGGCAATAGCTTAAACAGGATTGAACTTTTCTGTTTTATCAGAGACAATAGCTTAAGCAGGATTGCACTAAGAAAACATTCAACTATATCAGCTCTTTTCTTGATTATTTAAAAACCACTTGAAATCATTTTTAAAAATTTTAAAACATAATTTATTAAATGTATTTCTTTGCATCATATTTTTAGGTATGTTAAGATAATTTTAAAAAACTACATGGTGTGTGATGGTGTTTAAACATACATCATTTTCTACTTTAGTGAGTTATATCTTTGATATATTGCTTTGGGCATGCATATTTTTAGGTCCTATACATGGCAAAGAACAAAGTGCTGCATTTGCTCTCAGGCAATAGCATTTGTAATATAGAAGAGATATAGAAGAACTATAGAAGAAATCAGCTCAGTTTCTATGGGTCAGAAATAAAAAAATGTTTAAAAATTATAATGGATAATGTCTACTTACTACCAGTTAAACCTGTTTGTATCTCCATTTTGTTATTAGGAAAGGCAACATTTGTAGAATATGTTTCAGAAAGAGTCTCTAATTTCAAAGATATGATAGACTGATGAGAATAGCTATGTGAAGTGCTTTATTCCCAATATCATGAAAGCACCATATAAGTTTCTGTCATCATTGTTTATTCAAGCTGATATGTCATTTTAATAAAGCTACAGGTTATTAGTTTGAGCTTCAAGAGAAAGCTACAGAATTATCAATTCAAAATCACCTTATCTCTTCTATTGAAAAAAAATCAAAGGAACAAATAGTTCTTATTTCATGTGCACGTAAGAAAAGATACTGAAAGCAATTTGATTTTTATTAATATTATAAATAATTTATAATATTATAATTTGTTATATTTCTATAATAATTAGTTCATGCATGTGAGTCTTATTTCTGGACATTAAAGGATATATTAAATAATAAACCATACAATTTGATAAATATATTTAATTTGCTTTTTAAACATTGGGACCATACAAACTTTATATGATTAACTTTTACCATTTTAAAAAGGAACTATTTCTGGTTTGAATGCTGATATTAATTATATTGACTTACATTGTTTCTTTCTTTCCGTTTAGGCTGTACTTTGGAGGTATAAGTTTTCTCAGCTTAAAGGCTCTTCAGATGATGGCAAGAGCAAAATCAAATTTTTGTTTCAGAATCCAGATACTAAACAGATTGAAGCAAAGGTAAACCCAAGAAATTCATCACATAACACACCCCTAACTACATTAATGCCATTAAGAAGCAAAGGAGAGAAAATTTCAAAGAACCAAAACAGCAAGAACATACATTCTTCACTTACCTTGAAATATCCCTTATTGCTAAGAGAAAATTCACTTTGAGATTTTAATGGCAAATTTTCACTCAAAGGCATTGCTTAAAATAAATTACACACAGCTAATTATATTTCTTTGTTCTAATTCCTTATGAACTGCATTTGTGTCACACTAAGATAACATGCTGGGAACTAAAACAGTCAGTTGGTTATTTCACTTCCTAAATAATCATTTAAAATACTCAAGAAATATGACCATACATTATGATTTTTTATTTTCTCCTTAAATATGAATATAAATTCCTACTGAAAACTATTTTTAAAATCAATTTGTTTTCACCATGTAATTATATGTTAAAGAAGATCAATTAAATGAATGATTTTTGCTTTCCCCATACAAATTTTCAGTATTCTGGAATGTTAACTGTACTATTTTTAATGCATCACTAGATTCACTACTTTTATTTTTATGAATACATATGTTTTTAAATATTCAAAATCTAATTATTCCCATTACCCTGATATGGAGTTCATAATGACAGTGCTTGAATTGGAATAAATTGTGAATGCATTACTCCAGTGTGGTGGAAAGGATAAATAACAAATACCAAAATAAAAAGTTACTCTTATGGACATGAAAACCCTATGTAATTTTTCAACTATGGGTTAAAATACCATAATTCCATTATGCATCTGTTCCTATTAAATTCAGGGGGATAAAGTCTTAGCCTGACATTCAAAGCCTTCTGTGGGCAGCCCTGTGTGATATTCTAGACCTAGTCTCCTGTAACGCTGCTCCACATTCAGCTTACTCTACCCCTCCTTTGAATAAAGTGGCTTCTTCTTGCCTTATATATCTTCTAATCCTTTTCTATTGATTTACTTCCAAAAATTTTGCTGAATCTCTCCGGGAGTGTCTTATCTTCTTATCTTATATTTGTCTTTGAACTCGTCCTTACTTTCTCTTCCTAGACTGAAGGGCATTTAAAGTGGGAACTGTGACCACCACTCCCTGCCCTCTGACTGCATGTCTCCAAACCATTGGTGTTTCCCATGGCCTTGCCTTATATATGTATTCTATCAGTTTAGACAAATGCCTGGATAACTTCTTCCACTCCCTGTATTTAACTTGTCTCATAATGTTTGAATCTACATTTCCAACATGGCCTCTTCCCTAAATATCCACCTATCTGTGGAGCTTCCTTCTCTCCACCTCTGGCTGTTGTTCCTCCTCTCCTCCCACAGCTACCACCAGTGAATCATTTACTTTGAGCCAACCACTTACACTGATTCTTAGTGTTACTATCAAAATGCACTAATATTGTCATAGTTTTTACCTTTAGCTCTTTGTAGATTTCTTAATCTTTCAAAGCACAGCATGTATCCTAATACTCGTGAGTGATGTTGATATTGTCAGTTCTATATTTTTCTGGTTAAAGGAGAGCCTCAACCACCAGTTGCTGACAGCACTAGAGTATTTGTCTAATTAATTCTCTTCTAATGAGCTAATGAAATCTTTGCACATGAACAAAAGAGATCAACACAATCAAGTGACTACTAATATATAGACTTCAATTTAGCATAGCATATATTATATATGCAGCTAATTATACTTAACTGTACTAGTTATTAATTACTTCTCAGCTACTAAATATTACTTATTCTTGTGTTTTTAAAATTTATTTCATAATTTATTTTCTTAAGAGCTAGATTTAGAAAAGATATTTGGTTGAGTGTGATTCTCAAACTTACAGGAAGCAATTGTGGGAATGGTGGAAAGAGAAGTCTTAAAAAAGAACAAAAGACTATATTTAGTGAGTTGCTGAAATTCTTTAAAGTTACCATCTCCTTCCATCAAATCAGAGAAAGTGATACGTCCATGGGTAACACTGGAAATATCAACTTAAATACGGAGACTATTGAGCAACAGATGGTGCTAGCCCATCAGAATGGAGCCCAGCTCTGTGGGATGTTTTAGCATGCTTGGAGTATCACCCAGTTATCACCTCTGTTGACATCACAGACATCGCATACAAATAAAAATAGAACATTTGCTAACTAATTTATAACATTTATACCTGGGGATTGTGAGTAGTAAGCTTGCATGCCATCAATGGAGCAGAGAAAGGATGATAGTGTGGGATTATTTATGAGGACATACATTTTCGTTTCTCTGGGATATGTGCCCAGAAGTGCAAATTGTTCTATAGAATGGAAAATGTTTGCTCAGTCTGAAAGAGAATGCCAAATTATATTCCAGAGTGGCTGCAACATTTTATATCCCTGTCAGCAATGTATGAGAGATCAGTTTCCCCTGATTGTTTTAAATTTAAATTTTAAGTTTTAGCTCTTCTCATCATAGTCTTAATTTGCATTTCCCTAATGTGCAGTAATGATGAAAAACTTTCTCTGTGCTTATTTTCTAGCTACATATTCTCTTTAGTGAAATGCCTCTTTCTGTATTTTTGCCTGTTTTCTAATTGTATTGTTTAGTTTTTTTGTGTGCCTTCTCTCTATTTTTTTGTTAATCGCACTAGAAGTTTCTGAAAGAACGGGCATCAATTTCTCATTGAACCTCTATGTTGTGCTCTATAATCAATTTAATAAATTAAGCTCTTTTATTTGCTTATATTTTGGTTGCTTTAGTTTTTATATTGTTTTTCATCTTTTATTTTCTGGAAGTAGCATTTTATTTATTTTCTTTTATTCATTTTTTATTTCAAAATCTTAAGGAATTACAAAAGTTTTTGTTACATGAATACCTCACGCAATATTTAAATCAGGGATTTTAGTATATTGATCACCAGAGTAGTGTTCATTGTTCCCCAAAGCTAATTTGTATCTCTCACTCTCCCCAACCCACTCCTTCTTGGTTTCCAGTGTCCTTTGTATCTCTTTGTGCCTATGTGTACCCATCGTTTAGCTGTCACTTATTACTGATACTTCACTTAGGCTAATGGTCTCCAGTTCCATCCAAGTTGCTGCAAACAATATTATTTCATTCCTTTATGTGGCTGAGTAGTACTCGATGGTGTGTGTATACGTGTATGTATGTATACATGTGTGTGTGTTTATGTGTGTGTGTGTATATATATGTGTGTGTGTGTGTATATAACAGTTTTTTATCCATTCATGAATTGATGGACAGTTAGGTTGGTTCCACATCTTGGCAATTGTGAATTGTACACAATGAACATTCAAGTGCAAGTAGCTTTGGGTAAAATGATTTCTTTTTCTTTGGGTAGGTACCCTGCAGTGGGATTGTGGGATTGAACAATAGGTCTACTTTTAGTTCTTTGAGCAATATCCTTACTATTTTCCACAGATGGTGTACTAATTTGCAGTCCCACCAACAATTGTATAAGCATTCCTGTCTCTTTGCATCTACTATTCTTTGACATTTTAATAATGGCCATTCTCATAGGAGTAAGGTGGTATCTCATGGAAGTTTTAATTTTTATTTCCTTGATGATTAGTGAGTTGAGCATTTTTTTCATATATTTATTGGCCATTTTTCTATCTTCTTTTGAAAAGCTTCTGTTCATGTCTTTTGCCCACTTTTTGGTGAGGTTGTTTATTTATTTTTTGTTGATTTGTCTGAATTCTTTATAGATTCTGGATATTAGTCCTTTGCCAGATATATAGTTTAAGAATATTTTCTTCCATTCTGTAGGTTGTCTATTCACTCTGTTGATTACTTCCTTTGCTGTGCAGAATATTTTTGACTGAATTAAGTTCCATTTATTTATTTTTGTTGTTGTTTTATTTGCCTTTTGGATCTTAGTCAAAATTCTTATTTAGGTCAATGTTTAGAAGAATTTTTTCCTTATGTTTTCTTCTAGAAATTTATGGTTTCATGTCATAAAAGTCTTTTATCCATCTTGAATTAAATTTTTATATGATGATAGATAAGGATTCTGTTTCACTCTTCTGCATGTGGCTGTCCAATTTTCCCAGCACCATTTATTAAATAGGACTTCTTTCCCCCAGTGTATGTTGTTGTCTGCTTTGTTGAAGATCAGTGTTTGTAGCTTTATGGTTTTATTTCTGGGTTCTCTATTCTGTTCATTGGGGCATGTCTCTCTCTTTATACCAATATGACACTGTTTTGGTTACTATAGCCTTGTAGTATAATTCAAAGTCAGGTAATGTGATATCTCCAGATTTATTCTTTTTGCTCAAGATTGCTTTGGCTATTTGGGCTCTTTTTTTGGCTCCAAATGAAGCTTAGGATTATTATTTTTTAGAACTGTGAAATATGACACTGGTATTTTGATAGGGATTTCATTGAATCTGTACATCACTTTGGGCAGTGTGGACATTTTAAGAATGATGATTCTGCCAATTCATGAGCAAGGGATGTTTTTCTATTTATTTTTGTTCTCTGTTATTTATTTCATCAGTGTTTTTGTAATTCTCCTTGTAAAGATATTTTACCTCCTTGGTTAAGTATATTCCTAGGTATTTTATTTTTTTTGTAGCTATTGTGAAAGGTATTGAGTCCTTGATTTGACTCTCTGTTTGGCTGTTATTAGCATTAATGTATAGAAATGTAACTGATTTGCATACATTGATTTGTAACCTTAGATTTTGCTGAATTGATTTATCAATTCTAGGAAGCTTTTGGTGGCGTCTTTAAGTTTTTCAAGATACAAGAACAAACTATGTATAGAAGGACTATACCTCAAAATTATAAAAAGCCATATATGACAAACTCACAGCCAACATCATACTGAATGGGGAAAAGTTGAAAACATTCTCCCTAAGAACTGGAGCAATACAAGGATGTCCACTGTTACCACTTCTATTCACTATAGCACTGGAAGTCCTAGCCAGAGCAGTTAGGCAAGAGAAATAAATAAAGGACATCCAATTCAGGAAAGAAGAGGTGTAATCATCCCTGTTTACTGA